TTTGGGTGTTGTGCAGCTTTAACACGAAACTTAGGAATCCGATTCTTTTAAGTCTCTTTTTAAGCAATAGGGGGTGCATGAGCAACGGTATAAAGATTATAAATGAAAGAGTAAAATAGAAGTACTCCTTTGACTCTAGACTATTAAAAGGCTCTAATTAGGGCAGATACCTAGGCTTAAAACTTCGTTGATCATTCCTAAAGTACATTTTTATGTTGCTGAATTTAGCTCGCTCAGTTCCCAATGAGTGAGAGTTAATAGATACTGCATTATATAAAAATGGAGACCTCTGGTTATACAATTTCTTATAAGGGTGGCTAATTTTTTGCTCAAGTAGTGATGTTTAAGGTTGATTAAGGAATCTAGGTGGTATGCTGAGAGTTTTGAACAAGCTTAATGTTTTAGGGCAGTTTGTTGTATTAATTCGTTTTCTTTCCTTTCCAGGTGTCGGTGTAGTTTAAAATAATTGGGTGATTTTTATGGCTACTTGGTTTGAGAAGCCTCTTGAATATTTTCTTAGGATTTGAAGCAAGTCTGGGTAAGATCTTTATGTGTTATATGTGTATAGTGTATTGGATTTATAGCCTCTGATTATACGTTAAGGCTATATATAAGTTGTATGTAGTTGAATCATAAGTATATTAATGGTCATTGAAGGCTTTGTGAATTTCTTGCGTATTTTAGTTTTGTTCGTTACGAAATATTAAGGTTTTTCATAAAAGCACCAGGGAAATGTGGGATAATTGGTACTATTGATTTTGCCTCTTGTATTCTAGATATAGCCCCTTTGTGAGGATGTGACGTCAAAGAGGATAGTCAACAGTTCACTCTTTTCGTTTCGATACTCCGGCTACGTTCAGTTTCTGGCTTTTTCAATCGCGGAGGTTCAATCATTATTACTGTCTAATATTCTGTCGTGATATTCTTATGCCAACAACTGCGATAGATTAGCGTTCATTGTCCAGTCAGTTCTGTTGAAGTCTTTTCAGGTGTGTAAAGCAGATGTAAATATTCAATTTGCTTCAGCTTTTTGGCTTTTTTGTATGCCCGCAGCGTGGTAGACATTTGGAGCTGTGTGTCGAATTAGGAATTTTGTAGTGAAACAGATTGTTAGATAGGATATTGAAGATACTGAGGTAATGGCGTGTAATTAGTACAATACTTAAAAATGAGTTATTGTAGTTCATAAACTTCTATTGGTGATATTCATTATATTCTATTGAAACTATAATATGACGAATTGAATAGATTCAGCTAGAAATGACCTACATTTGTTATAGGCTTTTATGGATATGAGTCGGTGTTCCGTTGAGGATAAGAATGGGTCATGATGAGACTCATAGGGTACGGAAGTTTACAGTTATAGGCATAACCTTATGAAAAAATTCGGTCGAATGGTAAACAGTTTAGGCCTTTATGGTGTAATTAAAGGTGACTCTTTCCACTTTGTTCGGCTGATGCGACTGGAAATTCCTGGAGTCACAAATAGCTAGCGGAGGGCTTAGGTGGGATGCACCAACGTATTAGTCAGCTTCCGAGGGTTTTTCAGCTTGGCCGCAATATGATGATAATTAATTGCATTCGTCTAATTAGCTAGTAAAGGGTAACAAGTGTCATATAAGTATTTGAAGCCTAAGTTGCACGTCACTGACTTCAGTTGTATTAATTAGGGAGTAATCTTGCCACACAATATGGTTGTAGAGATTGTCTGTATATCTTGAAGAGAGTTTTTTTCGAGATTAGATGTTATCGTGTTAAGGTTACGCAGATTGTGTCTTTTTCGAACTATAAATTTCTACGCTTGATTTCAGTCAGATTGATCTGTAGAATCGCCTATGCTGTGTCTTTAAGTTTTAATTTTTATTTTTTGGCCTGTGGCATCTAATAGCTTTCGTGGATATATTGTTGAGTCCAAGTTTTGATTTCTGCATGGATAAGTTGTCGTTGTTACAAGGATCCGATTAATCGTCTGTGTATGTACTGAAAAGAGTGTATGCGGCACGCGCAATTCATGTTCTTTTTTATAGTTTGTACTATAACACGTTTTGGGGAAGGTTCAGAAAATTGAAACTGGAATCTCGCGTTTTGATGTATTGTAGTACAGGACTCTTTTACGGTTCATACTAGACACCTTCCGTAGGGGTTTAGCAACCTGTCTATATATTGACGATTATCAGTGCCGTATTTATGATGTGGTAGTACGGGCTTTGTGTGAATTGTGGAATTTTTGAAGATAATTTCAGATCTGTTTATCGCTAAACTTCGAGTGCCAGGGAGCTTGCAGCTACTTAGATATATAGCTGTTGATTTTATGTATTGCTTTTGGCGCAAATGACAGCGCTGTGTGCGTGGGCTCAACTCCCAATCATGTGGTTTTGATCCGACGCAACTAATGTTGTCTGAATGGCTTTTAAGATCTAAGCGTTAGAGTGCTGGTATCTTCGGATATGTATATTACTTACTAATAAACTTATTGATAAGACACGCGATGAGCTGTATGTAAAATTTGTCTTACGCTTCTCAATTTTGTCATTCTGTAATTTGTTAATCGGTCTACTTCACTCATTCTAGATGACTGCCATTTTTAAACCACACGAATAAGGTATCTTTTATTATCAGCTTGCCTATAATGAGAAGTAATAGTAGAAATCTGCGTAATCAAGGGAATGTTTGATACTAGTAAGCAAGAAAGAACGCAGGATATGCTGTCCGCGCTTTCTACTTCTATGAATCTTGCAATGAGTAATAATCTGAAGGTTATAGTCAGGAACAAAGCCTTGTGTGATAGAATTTTTAAAATAAATCAAATTTAGTATGTATCCTATGAAAGTGCGATGGTCTAATGATTTGTAAATACATTTTTTTTCTGCTTTAAGGCATCTATGAAACTCCGGGCGGAGAAGTTTTGCGAGAAGCTCACCTGGATATTGAAACTTTCACCATGGATAGGGTGATTAACTCTGCAAATAATTTCTTTTTTGCATCAATTTATATTTCATTTTAGTGCATTTTTATATACATAACATTTACTGTTCACATTTTTATACATTATATACACTATAAGTTCAAGGGGAAATAAATTTGTTCGAGTTGTCGAGACTTCAATTTTATTCCACATATCAAGGCTTTATAAATATCGAAAGTTGCCATAAAAAGAGATTCTTGGTATTGGAAACGATTTTCGTACGAGCTAGATAAAGTATGAACTATTACGTACGAACTATGAAATGACCGGAATTGGACTGCATTTCGCGCTATTTTTATTTTAGAATTTACGAAAGATCAAGCAACAGCTGTCCACGGATTTTTCAGAACAAATTTACAATGGTGGGTAACTTTGTATGAAGAATGAAAATGCAATACTGTGGATTGAAGCATAGAAGACGCCCCCACTAAACCCACTAAACCATTACAGTGTGTAGTGAACTGCAATGTGTAGTGAACTGCAATGTGTAGAGAACTTACTTTTTCTTTTCTATCTACATCTTTTATTGATTACACGTTTCTTAATTCTTTCTTTTAGGGATGTGGTATAGTGCCGAATGTGAATTTGTAAGGTAAGTTTTAATTCTATGTTATCTTCGATGCTATGGTCATAGGATCGCTATGTATATTCGTGCTTCCTGTGCCATCATCTTTAAGTGTGTTGGCTGCAAAAAGTGTAGGAAAAATTGGGTATGCTGTTAAGACACTTACTTGTTGTTTCTTGCGGATAAGACAGTAAAGCATCATTGTGTTTTTGCATCTGCAGATTTTGCATTGACAAAAGCCAAGAATTTGTCGAGGGCAGTGTCAAGTTGGCCATCTTTAAAGGAAAGGTTAGTCTTCTTTCAGAAAATCAGTACACAAAGCAGCTACTTATTTACACTTACAATGCCTGCCAAAAGTCTTGGAACACTGACGTCAATTTTGAAGTTCAAAATCAATCATCCCCCTCTCCCCTACAGAACAATGTTGGTTTACTATCAAACGGGTTAGGATTTTAGGAAGCACTTTCCTTTGCTTGCTAAAATAGATATTTCTCTAAATCATCAACATTGTTTTAGGGGGAAGGGGGCAGAAGGAGTAATTTTTTGTTCATGAAAGGAATGAAAGATATCAAATGTAGCGTAAATTGCTGGGTGTTCCAAGTACCTTTGGCAGTCATTGTATTTAATCAAAGAAAGAAATGCTGCCATTAGAAGATTAAAGCCATGTTTGTCTTAATAGAGTACCACATTAAGACGTCCTCTAAAACTGTTTTGAGGATGTTTTACTCTCGACCACAAAACTTGATAGAGCATTCTGAAATACCTCTAAATGTGCAAAATCAGTTGAATGTGTTGCAACTGACTTAGCTAAATCTGTTACAAGAAATATTTTAAATGACTTGCTAACCAAGGTCTATCTGATTAAAACCTCTCAGGCTAGCATTTAGATATATTGGTATTATTTGATATTTGGTGTGGTTTCAGAAATAAGGACTTTGATTAATCTCTGCCTTTGTTCACCGGGAGCAACTGGCATGTCAGCTATGGTTCTATAATCATGTTTTTTATTCTTGCACGAAGCCTTAGTGGTAACTTGTTGCATTGGATTATTTTAGGTCTACATTAAGTCTAGAGAGTCAAAGATGTCTCTTTACAATCAAGAACTAGTAAGGTAAGACCTCATTACCTTTGGTTTCAATATCCAGATTTGATTTATAATATTTCACTTAATCAATATTTGATCAAGGAGCTTTTTCGTGGAGTCACGCATTTAGAGGCATCACTCTATCAATTGCAATTTACAAACTATTTCGAATTTCCGATTATTTTTCATTAACAGCGTCTCTTTTAATCTTAATCTTTAATTGACAAATTACTTGATAATTTTAACATTTAACATGTTCACCTCTTTTTCTACTGGGGTGGTATGATGCTGCTAATACGATATGAAATTTCCTTCTAATGATGTTGTACGCTACATGTTTAACCTAAGGTGATTTACATTTACATAGCATGGATGTTGCTGGTGGGTATGATCCACGTGACTCAGGTGGCTTCATCAAAGTGACAGCCCTCAGGTAACGTACAATTTCAAAACTGTTATTAAAGTTCTAAGCGCCGTATATTTCTAACGTTTCCGTTTACAAGTGTCACCAGTCCCCCCCCCCTTCCGATGTATGAAACAGAGTCAAAACTGATATCTAGGCAAATGTATTTGACTTTACCCCCTTCTCCCTTTCCATATGCTAATTTCAAAAACTGTTCCACTCTCCACCAATCGTACATTTGGATCTACAACATTGTTAAATGTTCCTCCGATGAAATACTCAAGATGTTAACAAATGAATGTATTTTGAATGAATGAATGAATTCATAAGTACGGAACAGATTATTCAGACCGTTAATAAATGTAATAATGTAGACAGGGTGATCAAGATAATAGTGATTGTAGGGATCTGAAAACACTAGATTTCTATCAAATGAATCTTATTCTAGTGTTTACCACACTCAAGCAGTTTGTCTTAAAACAAATGTATTTGTATTTTATGGTTTTAATATGCTCGTATGTTCTTATTTACAGGCTGCGAGAACATGCCAGATTGCAAGGACTGCAAAAGAAGTGATTTTCAGTAACTATCCAAGCTTTTGAAAGAAGCTTGAAACTACAACGCATTGAATAGATCATTGTAGACCGTGTTATTAACAATTGTGTTATAAAAGTTATTTATCTAGGTAGTCAAAGAATTGCCAACTAGCAAATGGGCATTATATCATTTGAGTGCAGCTTAACTGAGATTATTGCTTTTTTCTTCTTGAGTGCCTCCTTGCTTTAATTCGTATGAGTTTAGCGTTGTTCTGGGGTAAAGTTGGAATTCTTTTACCGCATTTGATCTATTGAATACCCTGGCTGTTTCTTAGAATTTTTGTTTCAAGGAGGCGACTTTTAAAAAAATGTTTATTTTTTGAAAATGTTTTTGCCAGTTTATTAAAATACGGGCAGAATTTTCGATGCACAGTTTAGGAGAGAAAATTAGTGAGGTGTTGCGGAAGAGCCAGATCAAACAACAGAGAAACATCGTTTCTGACAAACATTTGACATGCTGTGGAGGACCGAGGTGAAATTGTGAAAAATGACGTGTAAACGCATTCTTTATAAGGAAGTTCTTTGTAAAGAAGGAAATACCCGGATATGCGAAAACGTGAGGATGAATTTCTAGTGATAGATCAGAAATTGCTAAGGACAAGTTAAGTCTGGTTTGCGCGTGTTTTTAATCTAAATAAAAAAACAAGAATGCATCTTATTTTTTAATTTTCGTTATTATTTCAATTATTCATTTGATTTATCTGATGTCTTTATGACACTGTATTTACTTGTTCAAGTTTTATTTCAAAGAGACACGAATAAAAAGTTAAATAATTACAAAAAAATTTGAGTACTTTAACTTGGCCTTTGGTTAAGGAATTTTTCAATACAGAGCCTAAATTTCTTGAAGACTTGCGTGTAATTTGAAATCACTTGAAACATTTGAAAGCCATTCTCCTGCATTGTGAATGTGTCTTGATATTTTAAGGTCAGCGTCGAATGCTTGATATCATGTACACTCTTCTTTTCATGGGGACAAATTTATAAGAACACGAGCCTCAAAATTGGTAAAAAGTTAAGAACAAATCGAGAAAAAGCTGTGGCTGAGCTACTGTAAAATGCAATTTTGAAAAACGTTTTATCCAAAACGATTTTTAGCCATGTGTGGGTGGTTTTTCGGTGAGTATCCAAACATGGCGGCAAATGAAGGTTGTCTCACTCACTTTGTTGGCAAATGAGGCCTGAACAACTAACTCCCTAGAGCAAAAATGCTAGCAATCACATTGCTTATATCCTATCAAATTAAGAACAAACTAAGAAGAATCCAGCCTCAGATTTTCGAAAAAGTTAAGAACAGTCAGTCTGAACTTTAATTTACTGGTTCTTATAAAAAAGAATGTAGATATTCTTAAGGCATGTGACATGATTATTCTGAAAATGCTTAATGGGTAAATTGCTGAAAAAGAACCAGCTCAAATACTCGTGTGGTATATTAAAAAAGTACAGAGGGTCACTAAGCCTTTAAGATGCGAGAGAGGGAGTAGACTAAATTAAATCGGGAAGACAGGGAGTAGAACGTGGCTAAACTACTGTCTTGAACGAGGGGCAATTCACTCTTGAAAATAGCTTTTTCCATAAGCTTTTCCCTTAAACAAAAGGATTTCTGGGGATTTTCAGATAAAACAATAAGATTTTCACAAAAGGTGTACGAGATTTTCTTGGAGTGATTTGCCCCTCGGTCTTGAACAAGTTGGCGTGATGCGCATCCGTAGGTTCGTACTAAATTGGTCCTTGAAATTAGTGACACATCGGGAGGAAGGACCAGGACACTGCTCGATAAGCATTGCATCTCACCTCAGTGTCCTAAAAGCTTCCTTCGGATGCTAGTTTGAAAAAATACAAATAAAAAAGGTATTTTATTGTTATGGACCATAATGATTTTAATATACTGTCCCTCGCCTAGTCTGCCTCACAGAGCATAGGAAAACTAATTCCTGCTCTCGTAGGATCTGAGACGCAAGTTAAAGGCAATCTGTCTCGTTATGGATTGGTTAACGAAAACAATAGCGTGAACAATAGCATAGACACGATTCCAGAGCTCCGCCATATTTTTTACAATGCGATAAATTGAAGGTGGACTGGAAACAATAAAAAATCGCTTTATTCTTATAATCAATCAACGTTGTGACAGATTGCCTTTAACCCCTCATGACCCAAAGGTATCCATGTTTTCATAAGGCAAATTCAAGTGTCGATACCTTGAGTTTGTCTCTGTTTTTGGATCTGTATATGGTAGACTGAAATAAATATATACTGTATATAAAATGATTATTGTCGCGAATTCTACTAGCCTATTGTCTAAAGAGCAAATTGGTTATTGGTCAATTTTTCTGCTCGGAATGTCTTGCATTTCTTCCAAAATTTCTTCCAAATAAATTTTTGGGTTCGCGATGAGTGCTGTATCATCAGCAAAGCAAACATTGTTCATATTAACCCCTCCCGCTATAGCTGCTGGCATGTTTTCTATTTTCTTCATTACTTTTCCGCTGTAGATGGAAAACCCGTCTGGAGAGAATACGCAACCCTGTCTCAAGCCTCTTGATATTTTTCCATGCTCCTTATTCGTTTTCATATCTGATCTTTGCACTTTGATCCCAATAAATGTTCCTTATTAATCTCCAGTTTTCCCTTCGATGTTGAGATCTTTTAGAATTTCCATAAATGGTTCATATTGTACTTTGTCAAATGCTTTTATATAATCAATCATGCAGATATAAATGTTCTGTTTCATTTCAATGCTTCTTTCAATTAGTGTTCTCATCATGTGAATTGCATTCCGAGTTCCTTTCCCTTGTACAAATACGCATTGGCTGTTTGAGATTTCTGGCTTAATTGGCACCCTCACTCTTTTCATGAGAGTTCTGAGGAGTATTTTTGTTGTGTGGCTTATCAAACTAATTGTTCGATGGATATCGAATTCATTTGCTTTTGGATTTATGGTATTGCTATGAATATTGACTTTAAAGATCTCCCAGAATGTTTCCCATGTTATAAACCTTGTTGATAAGCTCAGTCAACTTTTCTATACCTTTTTCCCCTGCGCTGTCTATCATTTCTACGTTAACCTGATCTGGACCTGGTGCCTTTCCTCTTTTCATCTTTCTTAAGGCGAATTCTACTGTAAACAAAACATAATAACATTTTTCTGGTGGTTGGGTGCTCTAAAAAGCTAAAAGCATTCATTCTTTGGTATACATTTTAGAGGCCCAAATAACCTTTTCAGAATTTCATATATTTAGTTATAAATTAGTTCTGAATTACAATCAACATATATTTAGCAAAAAATAGAGGTTTTAATATCAGAGACAGTTTCAGATAAAAACATCTAAAGAATGGTCTAATCTTTTAAAAAGCACCATGAAAGTGTTTACATGTCAACTATTAACCAATTGATGTACAATATATTCTAAATAGGTGATAAACTCAGTAGTATAGTGAGGGAGGTAAGTGGGGACAGAATCCCCCGAAATGGCAAAAAGCTCTTTGAAAAACTAAAAGGTAGGTAGGCCTACTAAAAGATATAAACCACCACTTTTCCTTTGCTCAACTCACCTTCCCCCCTCCAATCTTACCACCCTGGCTATGCTACTGAATACATTTTATATCAAGATAAAATGGTTGATACCTTAGTCAAATGCAAAGTCATCAACTACTACCCATCAGTAATTATAGCCACAGTGCTTTCTTTCTAGACTTCTATTTTGCAGTTTGCATCATGATATTAGCCAATTTTGGTTGTGTTCACCTGATCTTTCTTGCCTAGCCAGGCTTGAGCCTTGACCAAGGGTTTGTTAATAGTACTACATAGCTATATAAAGCTAAATTTGTGTATAATAAAGTCTCCATTATACCAGATGCTCGGGAATCAACAAAGCAAGATTTTTTTTTGCTTGTTCAAGACATTCTTTGTATGCTAGGGCCTCTTCTTCATTGCCCCTCTCCTTGTAAAACTGAACTGCAAATTCATTTCGTGTGACCGAAACCATGAGTCCAAACATTTTCCTTGCATTGGGATCTGTAAGGAAATTTGATGACAAGTGGTCTCTGTTTGAATTTAGCATGCAAACCTCAAGCACATGCATATTTTCTTTGTGATCCTGGTAAAAATCAAGAACTTGGAAAAATGCTCCTCTAAGGATAATCTCTTCCTCTTCTGGAAAATCTGACAAACTTTTTATATCTACAGCACAAATGGTACTGACAACACCAGTCGGATTTCTTTCCTTGTAGTGCTGAAGAAACCTTGGCTTCATCTCCAGTATGTGTATTTTGAAAAGGATTGCATTTGGTTTAGAGCAGATAAATCTTTTGGCCATTTCAATATTTGTTGTTGAAGACATGAGACATAGTGGTATGGCAATATAGCGCTGCTGGATTTCCTTCTTCATTAGGCTCTTGAACGCATCAAAATCTTCATCTTTTAAACCCACACCCCTGTAAACTATTCCGGTGAAGTTATCGCATGATTTGTTTTTCAGGCAGAGGTTGTAAAGATCAATATTTAGCAGCTCTACCAGAAATACAATTGTCTGAATAGTTTTTGGGTCATTGGTGGTGTCATCGTACCTAAACAAAGAATTCATAATACCGAATATTTTATTGTAGCCTGTTTCTGAAGTGTACAGACGTATAACGTTAAAATTTGATTTTTCTAGTTGTGTCTCATCGATATCTCCCCAGTTTAGATCTTCATTTTTGATCAAGTCGACTCTCTTCATAAAATCTTTCTCTACTTCACTATTTAGCCTACCTGCCAGAAACTCAGCAAGACCTCGGGCAAACTTTGCTCGATCGTCCCAGTGGTTCCTAATGTAAGTAATCGACTTCCTTACTTCGGCCATCCGAGAGTTGACAAGTTCTCCGTTGTAGTAAGGCTTTAAATCATTGAGATTCTGACTTTGAAAAAGCTCCGGCGACTGTTCGTTTGAGCCATAGCGTTCCACTCTTGACAGATCGATATTATCCCGAAAGTCCATTATAAGGAAGAAATTAGAGTTTCATGCGAACTTTAGGCCAATCTCGTTCCCATAGCCACTAGTTGGTTGGTCCCAGTCTCTCAAAGAACTTCCTTCCAAGAAATGCCAATGGTCTTTTCACGTTTCTCAAGCCACGTATTTCCGTGTTATTTTTTATTCTAATTGACACTAATCAA